CAAGCAGCATGTAAAGAGCCTCACAAGAAAATTTTTATTTTAATGAAATAAAAAAACAAATGTTTTTACATCAACATGAATAGCTGTAGAAAATTCGATGATGGATCTTAAAGTTGAGAATCTTCTCGCCATGAAAATTTTTTCCTATCAAAATTTCGTCGGAAAGAAAATAAAATGCAAATTAAGAATGTAGGAGCCATTTATCTATTCATACTTTTCGTTCCATTCATCATCATGATGGCTCAGTTGGAAAGGAGAAGAAAAAATAATAATAAATGTAGACATTCAAGAAGATTCATCATTTCTTGGCAATATATAGAAAATTGTAAGGGATTTTTTTTTTGAATTTCAGACTTGAAGGCTTTCATATTTTGAAAATTGAGATTAATTGAGAGTTCTAATATTTCAATTCAGGCTCCTTCAAGTTTTAAACCAGGTTAACTTTAAATTTCAGTATACAAGATCCAAACTAGAAAGCTATTTTCGTCGAATCCTTGTTAACATCTTCAATCTTATTACTAGCCTCCTCTGCTTGCTCTTACTGACTCAAAATCTCCCAAGACTTTAAATAATCTTTAACAATCACTTACTTTAACTACTCCAAAAAATACAGCCATAGGATAATCCATACACAAAGAATAAATGAATAAAGAATTAAGAAGTAAAAAATTTCTTCTACGCTCATGGCATATTTTTCAGCAAGAGCTTCTTTATGTGTGTAAAATCACATTAAAAAGCAAAAAGTAAGAAAGAAAGGGAAAGAAAAGCTTGTAAACTTTTGTCATATTTTTATTTTATTCACAACCTTTTTTTTGCCTCTCGTTAAATTATTCAAAAATCACAGAATGAAAATATTTTTTTTTATGATTTTCATAACTGATGTTCTTCCTCTTTTAAGAAGTCGTGCATAAAATGAGTTGAAGAAAAATAAAATTAGGGAGAGTCATAAGTCACAAGGAACCCTCAAAAAGGAATCAGATTCATTTCATCTTATTTTGTTTCAGTGTGGGATGTCAAATCTGAGAAAGGTCGTGTCGACATTTGGTCAATTAGTCCATTTCTTTACATAAGTAATTTGTTAACTGGAAAGTTTGTACTGATTATAACTGATTGCTGACCTTATGTGCTGTTTGTTAATGTTTTTTTTGTGAGTTTTGCAGCGTCATGTAGAAGAATTAAGATATTGAATTGACTCTAGATTTTTGAAATCTTAAATAAGTACTAAATGAAATGCGCTCTAAAAGTACAATCCAAAAATGTTCAAACTTGTTTGCCATCTTCTTCTTTTCCTGACATTTAATAACCTACAAATTTTTACTTAATATTCATAAAAAATGATTTAATTCAACAATGATGGCAACCGTTCAGTTCATGCTGTGCAGCAATGGAAAACTCAACATTTTGTGGTTCTTTCCGAAAACTTTCTTTAAAAGAACTCCTTTAAATATTCAAATTTATTTTTGATAAAAGAAAGTTCATCCGTATGCCTCAAAAAAATTATTTAAATTTATTAAGATATGATGTTGATGAAATGAAGCACAGATTTGGATACATTTATTTGTTCAGAGTTCAATGAACATCTTTTACATACGTTGTAAGAACTGTAACCTTTGTTATTAATAAATCAACATCAAACTCGTGTGAATTTCTTTATCAAACATTTTAATAGTTAAGACTGTGAAAAGGAAGCTTTTTGTATTCACACATCCATCCACACAATATTCATTAAGAAAGTTATTGAATAGTACTAATTTTGAGATGTTTGTAATTTTTGATGTTTTTTGAACTTTATTGTTAGGATTTTGAAATGTTGATGTGTGAATTTCTAAGTTAAAGATCCAGTTTAGATAATCTGAGTATAAAAAAAAGATCTGGTAAGGTTAGAAACACGTAATGTCGTAAGCATGGGCGAAACCAAACAGACAAATTTAATATTCAACTCAAATAAATCAAAAGCTCAGAAACTGTAGAAAATTATTTACTGAAAAGGATTTCTCAAGAATCCTTAAGTTCACAAAGTTTAAATCTTGCTTATAGAAATTAAAACGATTTCTTTTGAAGTAATTGACACTGATATTTACGTCAGCTCAAAAGCTATAAATAATATCTTATTAGAACTGAATTTATTTTTTAAGATGTGAATGGACTAAAGAAAATTCAAGAAGACATAGAAAAAAATAGCTTGCAATTAAAATTGAGAGGACATAAAATTTTTAAACAAAAAATCTTTTTATGAGAAAGGTTAATTCGACCTTTTTTTGTGTTTACGTTACAGCAATGATGCCTAGAAAATTTGTCAAATTATATTTTTAGAAACTTAATCTACTTAATTTTTTTGATTGAGGATTAGGATTATTTTTTGACATTTTCATTGAGGTAATGAGTTCCATAAATAAGATAAGGTATGATACAATTTAAATATTTTTTTTAAATATTTTAACAGAGAAGGATCTTGGGGTGTGAGTCGAATCTACCTGAAACTTTCTATGTTGCATGGAAGTGGATTTAACTCTTACCAAAAATCATTTGATTCTTAATTTCCAAGAAAAAGCAACAGGCTTTCCTCAATAAGCACCGGGAGTCAATAATTTTATTCTTCAAACTTCCGACAAAGCAGGAAAATGCTGTGATTTTACAATTTCACTTTATTAAATTTCCTTTTTGAAGAAAACTTATTTTTACTTAAATAATAATTCTTAGTAAGATATTTAGCACATCATAAAATCGTGAATAAATTTTATCTTGAATAGAAAATCTTTTTGAATAAAGAAGTACGCTTGGGGATCATTCGTAAGCGATGTCTCTAATAAAATCGACTTTGGATTGAATGGACAAGTTCTTGATATTTTTAAAAGTCGTCATTTGCAGTCGACTTCTTATGGAATCTAATATTTTATGGCTATTCATTTGAAACCATTTCTCAGCTTTTTTCTTTTTCTCACCCAGAAATTTTTCCTCGCTTTGTTTTCTTTTCATTGGAATTTCATAAACTTTCAGAATTGTTACTTTGAATGGTAAATTAGGTGCTTTATGATTCGCTATAATTATGGTAGAAAAATATTTTAAATGAAATTTTTGATGGATTTCGTGGAAATTTTTTCAATAACCAACTCTGTATGTTAATGAGCTTTCACGTGCTAATGAGAATATTGCGAGAATTTTTTACAACATTTTATAAATCATTTTCATTTCCTAATTAATTTAAGCTTTCAGTATTATGGAGATGTAAAGTAGCTGATTTCATGTTGCGATGGAATTTTTGAATTAATATGAAAAAAAAGTTGCATCAAAAATTAGAATTAATATTTCAAATTATTAAATTAACCAGCTCACAACCTACTCAAAAATCAATAAAATGTCAAAAATTCTCAGACTTGTTAAATAATTAAAATAATTTCATAATTGATCTATTGAATCCATTTTGTTTTCATTATCGCATATCTACATGTGTCACATATTTCATCCATTAATGCTTTAAATATTCATTATATTCATGAGAATTTTCCAAAAAGCTCTCTACAATCGATCATGATGTACTAATTAGCATTATTGTTTAAATCATCATTGGACCATTCATAAAATCATTGCACATTGGAACAATAATCCTTAATCACATCATGTATGAATTTCATTATAATAGGTTTTCTGATTTTAGATCAAACAATGACAAGATAGTTTGGAAATTGGATAGAAAATACACAGAACAATAATTTTGTTGATTAGAAATTATGTATGAATCATGTTTATTTTTAAATGCCTTATAGCTTGAGACACAACCTTTTTGTCAAGAGTGTGGCAATGGACTTAGATTCTTGAGATTAGTTTAGGCGAGATTTTTTATGAAAATCTTCATAAGAATCGGCTTAATCAAATTTTTATCAATACAGAATTTTATTAAAATATTTGTTTCTGACTAAAACAGAAGAACAAAACAAAATAATCTAAGTCTATTCACTATAATATCCTCAAAATCACAAAATCTGCTGGAAAAGCATTTTATTTTTATTTCAACATTAAAACTTATTTTTATCCAGCACAGGTCATGGACTATTTAGCATTTATATGAACATTTGCTTCACAATGCATGAATTTTTAATGTTTCATTATTCATTCTGAAGCGTAAATGCGAAAACTTCATAAATGTTCACAATTTTTACAGTGAAGGAATTTATAAACAGCTCAGAATGATTATTAAGTTAAATGTTAAAAATGAGTTAAATGACAAAAAAGTCAGAGATTAATTTGTATAATCTGTTTTCCTAGCGGACTAATAGCTTTTGTTCTTCTTCATTTTCGTCAACTTTTAGATTTCTGGATTTTTAATCCTAGGTTTAGATTTTTAAAATATTGTAAGTTTCTCAAAATTTAATCTTCATTTTCTCAAAATTTCAATCAAATAAATAATTTTAAAATATATCAAATTTATAATCAGCTGATATCCGTCCATAACCTGAATGAACCTAATCCCCTCGAACAATAATTAATATCATGGATTATTAAAATATGCATCAGATGACAAAGAGATTAACAAAACAAATTACATTTGAATCATTGATAAGAATGAATTTAATTTAAGTTAATTAAAATTATTTCATGAATAAATCATGCGAATGCTTGATTTATAATTTGTAATTTCCAGATAAGAAGTTGTTGCTGAATGTTTTGAGAGGAAAACTTGATAATAAAAAATATTTTTATGGTTTGGCAAGTTATAAATTCTATGGTGTAGATATTTATTTTCAAAACTTATTTGGGGTGCACCTCTAAGTATATTTTAGAAACCAGTCAACACTTGGCATTTCTATGCACTGATTCGAATGAAATAATTCATAATAATATAAATACCAAATAAACACAAATTTCAATCCACAAAAACCTCGCAATTTGGTAACAAAATGTTTCCCCTTTTTTACCATCCGCATTCACAAAAGTCAAGGATCAAATAAAAACTCTTTGTTGGCATAAAAACATTGGTTTATTAAAAAAAAGACTTGACTTACCGCACGACTATGAGAAAAATCAATTTGAGATAGTAATCCAATTAAAATGAGCTTCAATGAAATTTGTGTTTTCATTTTCATTTTTACGTTCAAGCCTCACTAAATGGAATATAAAATTCACTTCCTTTTTACTCTCTTGTTGTTTTTAAATTCTATTTTAATTAATTATTTATTTTACTTTCACAATTTTTTGAATATTTTTGAATGGCAAACACAAATTGCTTTAACAACTGCACATCATCACATGCACCAAAAAATATTTTTTATGTGAACTTCAACACACTTCAGTTTATAGATAATATTTAGACACTGCCGAATGAATTTTTATTTTTTTCGTCCACACGACACAAAAGCTCGAATCCTTCTGAATGAAAGAATCACAAAAAATGAGCTTTCGTATTTTGCTTCCAATGTGTCTCAGCATAACATCGTCTCGTCTCGTCTGCAAAATTTCATTCGCATGCGCATTGGATGTACACAGGAACAAGAGGAAAGAATGTTCGGAAAGGTAGTTCGTCTTGAAATGAAAATAGTAAACAAGTTGAATGTTGACTGAATGAATAAAGGAATCATTACTCATGGTTCGTCAAAATATGTTATTTATCAGCTTGTTATTCATTCCTATGGTGATATACATGCATACATGTGTCGGCTGTGTGTGAATTCGATTTGTATTATATTGAATAAATTCAGGATCATTTGCGAGGTGCATTGAACCATGAAGAAATTACTAATCAAATCGTTTTGACATAATTTTGAGCAATTAATGTGTTGTTTGTGAATCACATGAACCCCTTTCGTTAAAAAGATATTTGCATGCAGTGAACTAAAATAAATGAGATTTGAAATTAAGAGCTTCATCCACGGGAGTAAACAAAGGGTTTTGAATTGAACAAATCACTGTTACATGACCCAATATTTTTTAAAAAATAATTCCCACAAAATTTTTCACACTCACGCTTCTCATTTTGGTAATATATTGAGCACTTAGTTGCTACAAATATAATGAAGTGTGATAATGTTCTGTGAAGGAAGAGCGCAAATTTTCGAGTGAAAAAATTCTTCACTTAACCGATAATGTTGAGAGGTAAACGATTCAATTAATCTTCAATGCGAAAATGTTTTAAAATGCTTCATTCATCTGCTTCCTCTGGTAAAAATTATTTTCAGCTCACAATGAGAAATGATTACGAAATTTAAGCAAAATATTTTAAATATTTCATCCGGAGTAGAATTACAGTCAACGTACTTATTTTTGTGGGAATATCATAACTCAAACATTTAGGAAATATGGCAATGAATTCAACCGAAAATTGCTTTGCCACTTTTTCCGTTTCTCGTGTCATCTCATTTTTTTCCGTCGTTGTTTTGTGTTCTAAGCAGCAGGTAAGACAGCAGGAAGAAAAGAAATGAACGTGATCTTATTAACATTCAAGTCAGACACTCAGAATTATTTTTATTTCTCATTTTTTTCGCAATAAACTTTTTCTTTCATTACGTTGTGCCTCAACTCTATGTTTTTACTTCATGCTATGTGCAATATGTCCTCTTTCATTTATTAATTTCATATGCCTAGGCTGTAAATGAGTCTTTCTTTTATTACTGCTTCATATTTCTTTATGTGCAATTATTATCATTGGTTTATTATGCCTGTGGATTAAATTGAATTAAATAAGGGGCTGTTCACTTATTACGTAACGCGAAAAAATGACTTCTTAGACCCCCCCCCCCCCCCTCGTAACAAAATTTGTATGAAAAAAAAATTTCCTTGTTTGACCCGTAACAAAATCTTAGACCCCCCCTCCCCCTAAAAGCGTTACGTAATAAGTGAATGGCCCCTAAATCCATCATCATTAGAATCCATCAGATGAGACGGACAAGGTCAGTGTTGATTTGATATGATTGAGGAATTAATTGAAAAATTTATTTTAATTGAATTTGACATATATCATAGTCCAACCACCCCCCATCTCCCCTTTTAAAGATCGGATTCTTCCTTGATTAATTTCTATCGAACATTTTATAAAATCAGAAATTGTGTTTTTTGAAAAAGTTTGATTCATTTAACATGGCCTTTAACATCAAGCCAAAGATTTCACACGACAAATGAATAGCAGATAGAACACAGGCATAAAGAAAAAAATCACCGAGTTCAAAAAAGTAATATCATTCATTTACAAGTTTCATAGTTTTTTTTTCACATTTACTTATTGATTTTATGTTGGCAAATAAAAAACACTGAAAAAAAAGTAAAAATGAAAACAAACAAAATTGGTAAAGAATGGCTTGGCATCGATAAAATATTTTATAACCAATTTTCAATATGCACTATAGCAACGACATATTTTATGTAGAGAAAATAACGTAAGCTATAAAAATTCAATTTTTTTCTGTTTTTTGAAATTGAAATTAAAAACGACTGTTCTGAAAAAGTGTGGTGGAACTTATGCTGAAGCTTTACAGATAGCGAAATTATTTTTGTAAGTTGATTCTCAGGAATTGAAGTCAAATGAAGCTTTTTTGAATTATTTTGAAGTGAATGAGGGTCAATTAATTACATTTTGTGAATCTTTTTTTTATGATGAAAAGTGTCTAACTTTGGTCGATTGGATTTCTAGCAGAAATTGAGCCTTAGTTGAAATTGCAACTCAAAATAATTAACTGTCTGTAAGGAGCTAACTTTGATTTCAATAAAACTCTTTTAAAGCTTATTTAAGGACCCCCCCCCCTCAACCCCCTCTGCTATTGTGTCAAATAAAACAATCTATTCAATGTAAATTATTCATAGAAAATTAAAATAAATTCTTTAAAGAGCACTTAAGGAAATGTATGAGACCAAGCATCTCATTAATAACACTTCCTTCATTCAAAAAACATATCAGTAACAACAAAATCTCAAAATTCGAATAACAAAAATCTTTATGAAAATTGCCAACGACAAAAAAACTTTGTCTTCATTTAAAATTAAATCTTTACATGCATAAACGACACAACTGTGTACAGATATTGTGCAATATTTTAATACCTATAGCACATTCGCATACCCACTATATAAATGTACGTACATGCTGCTATACACGATGTAAAATGAAAATTTATTTATTTATTATTAAGTAAATCACCATTTCGGGAACAATAAATTTGTAAGAATATAAGCGAACGAGATGAAGGCACAAGAAAACTATATCAAAAAATGAGGGTAACGGAAAAAGGATGGGAGGTAAAAATTTCATAAAATGCCAAGGTTTATTCACTTTATACAATATTGAATGGAAATTCCAATGTGCAAATAATTTTACTTACCCTTGAAAGTTATGAAAATAATTTTTTTTTGTATGCCAAAATATTTTTCTGATGTTTGTGGTTCCTCTGCGACGAGAAAACAACGGCTTTGACGGTTGGATTTTTTTTCATAATAATGAGGAAAAATTAATGCGAAGAATTTTTATATGTTTGGCTTGGTATGGATGAGAATATGAAAGTTACTCACAATTTGTGGTTTACAGAAAACAATCGACTTTACGACAAAGTTTTCCATAAATAATAATGAAAAAATATTTTTATGGTTGCGGTTAATGGAAAGTATTAATGGTTTGCTGTTTTATGGTTTATGAACTCGGTGTATAAAAATTTTAATTTAATTTAATTTAATCAAAAATAACAGCGATAACCTAAAAGGTAGTATTTAAAATAGAATAATAGTTCAAGTTAGCATGTTGCCAAGCTTAGAATATATTCATAGGAGCGTGATGAAAAGAGTCAGTGATCAGAAATTGCAGGATCGTAAGTTCAATTCCCACACATATAATGTTAGATTTATAACTAAGGATTCGTCAGATATTAGCTTTCAAACCTAGTCATACAAAGAATCCTAAAGTTCCATCTGCTTTTAACCAACCAATAGGCTTCTTAAGGGGCTTTCTTGCTACGCGCCTGCCAACCAAGCAAGGCCACACGTTTCATTTGAATCCTGTACAAGCCTTTAAATTCAGTGGTTAAACCTTGATAATAAAGAATGTAAAATAACATGAATTATGAACTTATTTGCTTCTTTTGCATCTATTTCAACTTCTTTACTCATTCCATTCAATTCCAATGAAGAAGAACAAGAAGATATCTTTTATGCTTTCAAATTGATCAATATTTCATATGCGATTACTAATACACAAGAATACACACATAAATGAATGGAGAATGCTTGAATTCACCAAATGTTTCAAATATGTACCATCATATATCGATAGATAACTACAAATGATGTGGAATGAGAAACGGAAGTTGTGAGATTTATTCTTGTGCATTCAGCATCATTGAAATTGATAAATTGCTGCTTTATTCCTGCATTGATTTCAAATGAGACGAAAAATTTATTTTTTTCCTGCTTGCTCAAAATGGTTTTACGATTTAAAAAATATTTCTCTATCTACCCATTCAAATGTGCGGACTCACAGCAGGTAGGTATTATGAACGTAAAGAAATATTATCGGTGAATCATTTGCATGACAAATTTTTATGGTGAAATTTTTTTTTTCTGTGTCTGTTTTTTTTTTGCTGTCGAATCTGAGGGAAAATTTCAAAGTCCTTGTGGTTATTTCTGGCGAGACTTTTGTAGGTTCAAAAAATATAGAATTAAGTTAAGGTAAAACATTACATCAACAACCTTCAATGCCTCATGAAACCTGTAATAATCTGACAAAATAATCTCAAGAACCCCTGATTGTATCTATTGGACACTGATATATACACGTGGAAAAATTTGCCATGTAAAAAAACATGAGAATGATATGGCAATATGGCATGGTTGAGACACATGCTACATGTTGTCCTTTCGCTTCTAGGAAAATGATAAACTGAACAGCAGCAAGAGCAGTAGATAGAAAGAGGACATTTTATCGATAGGGAGAAAAACTCATTAATGCATCGACATACATCTAAAAAAAAATATAAAAGCTTTTCCTTTGAAAGAAAAAATAAATAAATAAATAATAATAATAATAATAATAAAAGTTTTTTTTCCACAACATTTTCGCAATATGAAAATTTTCTGTTTGCTCATCGTAATTTTGATGTTGTGCAACTGC